GGTAAATTGTCAAAAGATGGTGGAGCATTAGAAGACATTCAAATGGTGTTTCGATTTGTTTGTGGGGGCTGTCCTAATTTCTTTATGGACAATCAAATCACACTTGAGTAAATGAACAAAAAAATCATGAGAATTTGTTGAAGGGTGTCCCAAGTGCACCACACAAGCCTCTGACATATTGAAATGCATAAATTGTGCCTTTAATGCGTTTCTTACCAAGGCATTCACTTTTGCTCGTTTCTGATGATTGTGCTATAGCTCAAGTAGAGTGTAAAAATGTGAATTATGGAAAACTTTGTACAAGGGTGCTTTTGGACTTTGGATGTTTTGTTGACTGGATTTAAGTTCTTTAAAAATATTGTTAAACTAAACAACTATGCTTGGTACTTGAAAATGAGGGAAAAGAAGTGTTAATTGAATAATTGTAATTTATACTGTATAGTTTAATAAAAAGTCTTGCAAGTGAAACTAATATTTGTAAAGAAAAGATGAGAGAAATCCAAGCTGATCATTCAATCTATTTGAAAAGAGCACTTTAATCAGTTGTGAAATATAAATTCCTAGATATGCAGTCTGATGCATGCACACATGCAGCTAAACAAAACTTAACATTCAAGAATTTGTGCACTTAACAGAGTCAAGGAAACTTAATCAGTTGTGAAATATGAATTCCTAGATATGGAATCTGATGCAGGCGTACGGCTAAACAAAACTTAAAATTCAAGAAATGATGCACTCAACAGAGCAAAGGAAATGCATTCCATTTTGGTTGCTTTGATTGTTTGGAAATTCTTTAAAGAATTTCCAAACAATCAAAACAACCAAAACCTCATTTTATATGCTACCTGGACTGCCGAACTTCTTATAAATGATCTGGACTTTATACTTAAAAAGAACTGCGAGGGAGGGAAGAGTCTCATAGCATGTACTACGTTGGATGTATAGCCGAAATATGATGCCTGGATAAAAAACATGTATCTGGTGCAGTAATGTGTAAGGAAAGGGTATTTTGCTTTCTATTCTCACTTAATTAGTAATCTGAGGAGTGAGTTTGTGCATGGCGCACCATTTGATGCCCACGAATATTTTAATTAACGCAGATAAATGCTTGTTGGTATGAATAAATTAGTTCGTAAATGTTGCTGATAACCTGTCTGTTTCTTGATCTAGTGGGGATTTCATTTTAATTAGTATCAATCTGAACTCTAGCAGGGTTTATTAGCAAAGGTTTATTTCTATCGTCAAACTTCAATTTGCTAATCTAGTCAGTCATGTTACTTCAGCATCTAGAACCCCGTTACTTTTTTGTCTGATGAAAGCTTCTTAATTTGGATCAAATAGATAGGCACGTGCCTTTTTATGTGAATCTCCTAGCTGCTTTCATTTCTTTTTCATTTTAGAGTAATAACTTTCATATTGTGTTTCATTCAGGAAAACGTTTTGGCTGAATCCAGGATGATGATTCCTGACTGCCGTAAGCGTCTAGAGGCTGCTCTAGATGACCTCAAAGGAACTTTGGTAATTCATAATGTTGCTTTCAAGTGCAAAATATTGGTTGTTTGTTTGTTTCTGGATTCCTTATCTTGTTACTGATACACATTCTTCTGCTAAATTAAGTGAAAAAAGAACATGTAACCAGATTGTATTTTTAATTCATCATAATAATCTTACATACGAATGACAACAGAGATTCTCTAATTGCAGGTTGAGTTGGAGTCAAATCAAAAGGAAGGCCCTGAAATTGAAGAGGCACAAAGCACCATAACCGAAGTTGAACAGTTATTTCAAACTGGAGAAGCATAAATTTCTTCCATCATCGGTGGAATTCTATCAAGATTCAAGAGCTTCTAGTTATTGCATTAGATGGATATTGGAACATATGTTTTTTTGTCTAGATTGTGGTGTCTCTATTACTGCTACTGCTAAAGCAAAAATTTCATTCCTTGACTACAAGTCCAAGAATCAAAACTAATCGAGTAAAATCATCTCTAGTTTGTTATTGCTATATATATATATATATATAGAATTATTCTCCTTGTACATTTTGCATTGACATTAAGGTTGAAATCCTGCTAATGTGTCGAAAATTTAGTCATTCATTGGAAAAAGTGTTGTTAAAATGAATGTATAAAAGTCTGTCAACTCATGTAATGTCAAACTGGATGTAAATATAGCATGATTGTTTATAAAAAAGGATGCTAGTTCATATTCGCTGTGGACAATACCCATTTGTTACGAGTGATGAATAAGTCATTCCCACATATCATTCAATTCAAACAAAGTTGCAGGCAATAATAATACACAGTCAAGCTTATTTGACAAGCAAAATAGAGACGAAAAAAAGTAAAAAACACACACCAAGCTAAGTGAGAACAAAAATACAAGCATCTGAAGAAAGACATAATTCCTACAGCACACTGCTCAACAAATATCAAGATCCTAACTTGAAGGCACCACCCAATCCTAGCATTCAGGCATTGACATTTTCTTCGCCTTCTTAGTTTTCCTATCCGAAATTGCATTAGCAAAGGCCTCCACAATCATGTGCTGCGACCCAAGTATCAGCTCAGTCCTCTTCAGCTCCATCTGCATTCGCATCTGCTCCACCTCCCGTGTCATATCCATCTTCACCTTTTCCATTCTCTCAAAACCCTCCCCCAACGTTTCTATTGCAGCCACTACCTCGTCCATGCCATTATCCCCTTTCTTTTTATTGGAAATTTCACCTATTCTTTACCCCATCTCATCCCTCCCCATAAACATCTCTCTCAAATCTTTACCAGAAACCCTGTACCCATTACCACTAGAGGTAGAATTGATTTTAGGGTGAGGGTGAGGATTATTAGAATTTTTACCACCCATCTCATTAAACTTACCATAAACCTTCGGTGCACTACGCCCTGCACTTGCCACACCTGGGATTTTGATTCGAAACACACCATTCATCATATTACTCATAAGCCCTTGATTACTAAAATTACCTTTCCGATTACTGTAATTATTGTTGTGTGCATCGTAGATGCTGTTCTTGTGATCCTCTTCTTCATGCCGCTCTTCATCAGATGAAGGGGAGCCCTTGGGGCCTTTCTCCATGGAGTGCATGCTTTGGAAGTGGACCCAGGAGGAGGAGATCTGGCGGGGGCTGCCATATTGAGTGGCGCGCTGGATCTCTGAACGGTAACGCTTGCGAAGCTTCTCCATCTTGTGACGGCATTGGACGGCGGTCTTTGGGGTGCTGGAGGAGCACCGGACGGCGATCTCGTCGGCAACCTCCTGCCAGTGGGAGGCCCGAAGGTTTCCACGGCGAAGAGAATACCATTTGTCCCTGTAAGCGTCGATTAGAGCCACCGTCTCGTCATGGGACCAGCACGGCGGAGGCAGTCGGCGGGAGGCGGAATTGGAGGCGATGGATGGCAGCGCTACGGTTGCGGTTGGAATATGTTCGTCGTATGGAGATAAGGACGACGGCGATAGCGTAGTTGCCATTGGTGCGTAAGATCAGAGAACCGGTACACGGTAGAATAGAGGGTTATAAGGCGGCGATTACGAAAAAGATTGGTGGTGGGGAGGGTTTGTGTGAGGTGGCGTGACATAATGAGAGATTGAATTGGGGTGGGTATTGGGGGTAGGGTTGTGGCGGCAGGGCGGGGGATGACTAGGAGATCTAGAAAGATGAAAGACCACCGCTAAGGGAGGAATGAGATGGGGAAGGCTAACATGCACCGAGAGTAGTGAGGAAGTTACTGTGCCCACCCAAGAAAAGATTAAAAATGGCCAGAGCCCAACCGCACGAGGTGGCTGCCTATTTACATTGGGTTTGGGCGCCTTCTTTGGGCTGGGGCCTTATACCGGTGGCGGATGCAGGGCAGTAGGGTGTGAATGGCCATTTGAATATGCACCTGTCTAAAATATGTATGATAGAACTAGTTTAATTGGCACCATGATTTAATTTAAATCTCTCATAGTTAGCGATCTTGATTTGAATCATGAGAGACATGACAAAAAGTCGTGACATATAAAATGATAGATGCATTCCTAAATCGAACAATACATATCATATAACAGTGTATGGGCATTTAGGTCTCGATTGTTACATCAATAGGTCATGGAAGATTTACACTCCTCTTTGTCTCATCCCTTCACATGTGTCCTTCGAGGAAATGGAGTGATCGGACATAATTTGATGGTCAGCAAACATGAATTTTAAAATTGTGAAATTGGAGAGTCATGCACTGGACTTGAGACTCAATCTAGGGATTAAGGGTGAAGCTCGGATTGCTCGCTTGTTGGGCATTATGGCAATCGGCAATGCTAAGTGCATGTGACACTATGGTGGTATTATTTGAAGAAATTGATGAAATCGTTTATTTTATTTGAAACATAAAACAAATCAATTTGGGGTTAAATGTATATAAATGCAATAAAAAAATAAAGTTTTGGGAGATGAAAAAAATAAAAATAAAATCCTTTTCAAATGTTAGATTCAAATTTGCTAGTGATGCAAAAATTTCAAGACTATGTAAAAATTTCTCAAAAGAATATAACATGGGACGTGGTAGTTGAGATTTGAACCGATTCTACTTAACCAAAATCAATAGTTTTACCACTAGACTAACCCCGGTTTGACCGGAATTAAAATCAGATTTTTAGTAGATTTTGATAAAAGTTGATAAAATTGTGGTTGAAAAGTTGTAATCCTATAAAATGTATGACTAAAATTAATTATTAATTTTGAATTACATTAAAAATGTGAATTTTAATTTCCACCGAACATAGACATGACCCTAAAGCCCCTATTTTAAATATGCCATTACTTAGGATCTCAAGGTCAAAAAATTGAGTCCCTTCTATTACAGCTAATTGAATTTGTGTTATAGTTCTACACAAAATATTATGCTACACTTAACATTTTGGGTCCCCAAATGTTATAAGCACAAGGCAGCCGCCTCTTGAGACTCTCACGTCAGGTTCGTAATTGTAGACAACGAAAATATTTCTTAATTTAATATAAAAAGTAATGTTATGTAGCATCACTGGTGTTATAACATTAATTCAGATGTCGCTAAATGTTATTAAATGATAGGGACAATTAAATAAGTCACATGATGACACTTAAATTGGTGTGTCTAGCATTGGTTATAGCGTTGTTTTTAATACAAATAGTGTTCAGCTCCCATAGAATTTAAATTTCCTTATAATTAAGTTCTTATAAAATTAAAAATTTGGTGGGGTTGCTTATTTCTTGAATGTTATACTTCTCCATTGGATTGTGAATGTTTAGCTGTGAACAGAATGATGCCTACGCGGGTGTCGAGTGCCCAAAAATACTGGAAAAAAACTTGATTGGTACTTGTGGCTTTAATGAAAAGTGATTCTGGACTAGCCATTTTTGTTGTGTAGAAGATTTGAAAGGTAAAGTCACAGTTTAATTAAGCAGCACAAAATTTTTCTTCATGGTTTGTAAATTAAGATAAACATGGTCTCAAAATTTCTATTGTGATTCCTGTTTTTTGGGCATTGAAATAATTATAGTGGCCACAAAATCAGAATGAAAAGTGAACTAAATGGAATTCCATATGCAAGCACAATATCTATTTAGACACATGCAAATGACCTCTCGAGAACATATATATAACCATGTTCCAGTCTTTTCTTTACAATTTCTCTCCATATTGCAACAAATTGCAGTTAAGCAATTGGTTAAATACCTATTTCAAGCATGGCGACTGGGTTTAACTCGAAATGGTGTTCGACAAATCGGACAAGTAAGCCTTCTCGACAGCCAAGGATCAATACATACAGCGTGATAAAGATGGTGGCAAGCTGGGAAAATTCTGCACAATTCGTCGTGCCGGAAACTGTCCAAGCAGATAGCACAAGTTGTGTTTGCTCTTTCTCCATGGTACACAAAAGTTATTTCATGTAATGCTTCAACAGACAAATGGGAATAAGCACTGTGATCTGTTTTTGAATCCTCTACACTTGTGTTCTGATCTTGACTTACAAGATCAAGAAATAAATAGCAAATTGCCACATAAATAACAAGGATACCAAGAATGGCTATAAAAGAAAGAGGACTAGGGAGTTCAGGTATGGAAGTCAAAGACATGGTTTTGGCTAATTTAGGTTGGATCATGCATATTTGGCCCTTCTTAAAACAGATTTTTCTGGGAAATAAGCAGGGCGAAATATGCTGGATGTAATTAACCTATTTATCTTTGAAAATGATTTCATCACTTAAAAATTAGTGACGTGTTTGGTGTGCACAAGAACACTTAATTATATGGCGTGTTTATTGTATCCATATGTCATTGACTCTGCGACAATGACAATTTTATTACTAATTTTTAGTTATATTAAACATAATATTTTAAAATAATGCGTGTCATCATTTTTTTTATTATATAAAATGGACAATTATTAAAATAACTAGAGTTAATTTATCTAGTCCACATTAAATGGCCAACAAAGAAGTTGCTTAGATCAATTGGTTTGACATTTCTTTAAGTTGTTAACCGACAGGTATAGTTCTTAGACTTGAAAGCACAATTGCATCTTCTTGTCATCACACGTTTAATCTTTGTAAACCAAAACTGTGAAGCTCGTTTGTTCTTCATAATTTGTGCAAACGAATGAACGATACCAACGTTAAACTTTTAGAACAAGTTGAGTATGCTAAACCAAACATTACCAGAAATGAAATCGCACCAAACTCGTCATTTTCAACTCATATAACATATAAAATGTTGCAGTAGTTAGTTTTTGTTGCATTGGAGAATTTTTTCTATAGAAAAACATTCATCGTTCATATGACTAACATCTCACAGCTAATAAGATTTTGGCCTAATGGATCTATCACCGTTTGTGAGTCTGTGACAACATGAGGGAAAATTTATCTTTAAGAGAGAGAAAAACTTCCACTGTCGTTTTGATGAATATGGATCACAAATGCAAGTCTCCAGTATCATGTCAAGCACGAGGGCCAAAAACAACAGGTTTATCATAGGAATTACGCATTTTACAGATCAACAGTCAGTTTCTATTTCCAGGTATAAAAGCATAAGAAATGACAAAAAGTCGTCAAAAAGTGAGATTATTCTGCAAAAGGACTACAATTACGAGTACATTTATGACTTCAGTTACCCATGCTGGCAGAGCGAGCGCTGACCATGACTTCATCCAACTTGTGAGTCTATCAAAATTATGGGCCCGTTTGGTAGGGATTTTGAGAATTGATTTTTTGACCGTTAGAAGAAAAGTGGGTTCCACATGTGAGAGAAGAAGTAAAAAATTACGGCTTGAATAGTAAAATAACGGTCAAAAAATCAATTTTTTGGGGCAAAAAATCCCTACCAAACGGGGCTTATATCTTTGGTAGAATAGTGAAATCTTCCTTGGGTACATCAGCAGTTCGGCACTTTCCTACCAAGAACAATGAGCTTGTGACGCCGGGCACGATACCGATTATCATGCAGGCTAGCTACAATAGATAATTCAAAAGAGATAAAATAAATGAAAACGCCCAAAGACAAAGAGAATTATCTAAAATTCAATTCAACTTTTATTAAACTGCAGAATAAAGAAAAATAACTCACAAGCCGGGTTATATAGTTGCGAAAATTCGAAATTAGCGAAATTTTACCAAAAATAACAAAATCCCAATAATCATACAAAAATAAAATATGTAATAAAAGAAGTATCTTACTAGAAATATGGCTCAAATCGAGTTCATAATCATCTTGAAAACAACATATGAAATATTACCATAAATTGAAAAAAATAACTAAAAATGGAAATTCGAAAGGGAAAACAACGGATTTTGACCTCGAAATTGATGCCCACCCAATGTAGCTTAGTGACCATGATGTGCGAGACGAAAAGAGCTTTTCAAATTGAGGTCATAATTACGATTCTGATAACCGTAGCAAAAATTATGACCAAATTATTAAAAACGTGTTCAAAACTATCCCTATTAAGAAAGGATCATGATTACTTGTCATCTTTGTACCGATCTGCCAACTCATGGTATCTTAGTGCTATCAACGTGCTATTTAACAACTCAATATCACTTGACTCGTAACCACCTCCATCAGTTTGTGTAAAGAAATGCTACAAACTTTGAGATAGAACAGATTATAAGGATGTAGAGATAGAAGAAGGGAGGGGGGGCTGGGAAAAAAATATGAGCTTGCATGCATAAATTTTCCAGTTTTGTGTTGGAAAAAGTTGAGAGGGCGTTGAATTTTTGTATTGTAAGGTTTATTAAGTTAATTGATTCTTATTCTATAGTTGTCATTAATGAAGCATTAGCTGCTGCATATTTGAAGGATTCTTTTCCCAATCCGTAAGAGCATCTCCAAGATCTTCGATTTATATCTATAAAAAGTATCTTGTTTATAATAGAAAGCATATTTAAATTGAATAATGTTATTCATAGTAAAGATTACTAGCAATCGTCCTATATATCATAAACATGATAATTTGTTATTTGATGTATAAGGCAATAAAAAAATTACCGTAACAATGTATCAAATAAAAACTGCAATGTGCATGTCATGTAGGGTGATTATCGATATTTTTCACTATAAATAGCATTACTCATTTAATTTCAATTGTGCTACGTATACATAATGATTTACATAATAGTACATAAAATGTGGAAAAAAATGATTGTATCAGAATTTTTTCAATTAAATAAATAAATGAAGTTCTTTACTCTCTTTTTGACACTTCATCTGTATGCAAATTATTATGTAACTACATTATGTACAAGTAATATTAATCTTTTAAATTTAGAGAGTATTTTAACATACATCAACTGTTCTCTCTATTTTGACTCTTCAATTTGTATTTTTAAGAAACATTTATTGATTTTTCTCATCTATTATTTTGCATTTTTATGTGTTATGTAAGTAAATGCAATTATTATAAAATAAGAACAGAGAGTTAGAGAGTAAAATCCACCCTCTATTTTAAAAGTAGAGAATTCCATGAAGCTTTTCCTTTTCTTTCTTTTTTTTTTAATTGTTGACTATCTTAAATAAAGTACTAGAATGTCGTTTGAAATGCTTTAAAACTATCAAAACTAATGAGAGATTGTTTATCGTGTTACAAGAACATAGGAAAATTTATATTTGAATTCAATTATTCAAAATTGATTAAAATAAAATAAGTTCCTTATTTTGTGCTTTGATTGCACTTTGAATTATAAAGTTGACTTTAAAAAAAAAAAAAATTGGAATGGATCAATAATGTTGAGATATGTTGATGGAGCAGTTAGAAAATACATTATAATCTAAAAAAATTTGGGGTCTAGAGTGGCAACTGTAGAATTAAAGAGAGAGACTTGTTTATTTGTTTTGACTCAGATATAAATACGATTGAGGCACGAACAATTATGATTTATGTACCAGAATTTTATTCATTTTTTTATGTTGGTTGTGGTTATAAAGTAAGAATATATGGATTTTGCTTGTCACTTTAGATATCATTTCTGCTGTTTAACTCAATGCACTATCCCCATATCTCGAATTGCTTTGCTTGTTTTCTGTTCTATTTCATCCTTGCAGTTTAATATTCTCTAAATTGTTCTAATTTTATCAGATGCACAAACACAAGAATGACAAGCACAAATTTAAAATCATTTTTGATTTATCGATATGTATATGAAGGAAATGAAAAGATAAAGATTATTTCGTATACAAGAAAGAGTCTGTATGTACATATGTATACATACTTAGTCAAATTAGGCTTGCATAAGTGATGGAAATTAAGATTAAACCATTTCTTTGAGTATATATCTACATACAGCTGCCAGTGTTCTTAAATTTTCAATGTTAGAAAACAAATAAGAAAATAAAAGGTTGAGATGTCTTGATTCTTGAATGTTGTAGGCACAAAAGCTATTTATGAAGTGGTCAAGTGATATGAATATTTAATGTAAATTGTTTTGTAGTCTTTTAGACAAGAAAGAATATTCATCACGTAACTTAGACCAGATGATATTTTACTCTTTCTTTTTCTTCTTTATTGGCAAACGAGAACAATGTTTTCCAATCCCCAGATGCACCTGTCCAGATGACTCTTCCAAGGATTTTTTTTTGCGAAAAAAAAAAAAAAAAAAAAAAAAAAGTTGATGAGGGCCCTCACCGCCCCGCTCCTAGAGCTTTGTGAGGGAGTTAAATCGAGGGGTGTGCCCCAACAGGCCAGAGAACAAGAGCTGTTCGTATACTGCGCCTACAAGGAGTCTAATTCCATGTCTCAGGAATCGAACCCTCATACTGCGACCGCTAGTAAAACGTGAGATAACCTCACTCCTGTCCTTTGCACCATTGGACTATGCCTCGGGAGGCGATATATATATATATATATATATTATTTTATTTTATTTATTTTTTCTTTGCAACATATTTTGGCTGGTAGGTGGAATTGCAATAACTAACAATATTTTCATGACTTTTAAACTTCAATTTTTGGGGTACTCATGTTATAGGAAGGTTCACAAGAAATTTAATCTTAGATAAGATAGAATGCTATCTTATTTTATCTTATCTATTTGCAGACAGAATCAAAATTTTCCAAATCCTTGGATGCTCCTTATCTGTCCATCCTTCAAATGATTTTTCAAGTTCTATAAGTATTGGCATGTCCGGAGTCAGAATAATTTTTTCGTCGAACAATTTTATTCAATAGTTTTTGGCTGGTAGGTGGGTTTCGAAGTGCAGCTGAAGTAATAATAATTTCACCGTTCAGAGTACATTACAAGGAGGGTAGACGAAAACTATAGTAAGTTGTACTCATTAAAATTCTTATTATTTTAGAAGTTATAAAGTACCAGTTTCTTTATCATTATGTTTAACATTGTAATGAAAAAAATAATAATAATAGTAATTCACCACACCACCAAATCTACTGTGAACTAAATTTGATTTGTTGTCATCGTTTGTTTAATGTTAAATGCGTAAAAAGGTAAAAATTCTGAAGAAAGACCATGGTTTTCCTCTTAATGAAAATGAAAAACCTTGTGAAATAGTCAATAAACCTTGTTTGTAAAGTAAACAATTCTCTATGTATATTAGTTGACGATTCTCTAGCAACAGTGAACTTTTCTTTGAAATTATATAAATCCATCCATTTGTTCTATCCGATAAAAAAAATTCATTGGCGATTAATTCCTTACCACAGGAAGGCCATTATTTTACAGGCACAAGTGTATAATACCCAAAAATGGATAGCAAGAATATGTTGGATGCTGCACGCACTGGAAATCTCGAGGTTCTTAAATTTTTTCTTGAAGAAAACCCGTCAATTCTTGCTGATTTAAGACTAATATCGCCCACAGAATCTCTTCTACATGTTGCAACCAAAGCCGGGCAGCTTAATTTTGTGCATGAACTAATGGAACTTGATCCTGAAATTGCTGAAGAGTTGAACAAGGATGGTTTTAGGCCTCTGGATATTGCTGTAATAATGGGAAACTTGTCGATAGTAAAGGAACTTGTGAAGGCAAATAGCAAACTATGTCGGCTCAAAGGAAAAGACCAAAGAACAGCTCTTCATTATGCTGCTATCAAGGGGAGAATTGATATTATTGATGAATTGTTGTCTACGTGTCCAGATTCTATTCAAGATATTACAGGTCATGGGGAGACTTCGCTTCACCTTTCTGTTAAAAATTACCAGTTTGATGCATTTAGTATGTTAATCAAGTGGCTGGAGAGACTTGGCATGGAATCAGTTGTAAATTGGGAGGATTGTGATGGGAACATTGTAATGCACATTGCAGTTCTTACAAAACAACATGCGGTGTGTTCAGCTCTATCGAGAATATATTCACTTTTTATAATTTCTTAATCTTTAGATTGACATTTCATCAATAAAAGTGTTTTTTCCATGTTGCAGGTCATAGAACTACTCCTTAACAGAAACAGCATCAGAGAGACAATAAATGTCAATTCGACAAATGCCAAAGGTTTGACAGTACTAGATATATTGGACATTGTTATTGAAAATTCTTATGATGTCCGGATCAGAGAAATTCTACAAGCAGCAGGAGCAGTTAGAGCACAAGATGGTTTTACTATCAGAACAGAAAATTCACCAAAAACCAAACCAATCAAACAGCTGGAAGATCCTCTGCCTTCGACAGATTGGTTCAAATATTTTAAATTTCAGAAGCAAAGAGATTCACCTAGCGATACCCGAAATGCACTATTAGTTGTGGCAGCACTGATTGCCACGGTGTCCTTTCAAGCCGGCGTAACTCCTCCGGAAGGGATCCTGGATAAAAATTCAGATAAACAAGCTCCCATTGGCTCAGGATATCCACCGCCAGGCCCACCCCCTTACTTTAACCCAGCTGGGACAACTTTGCTTGCTGGTGCTGCAGGAATTTTAGGGTCTCAGGCCACTGCACAATTGTTCTTGTTTGCCAACTCTTTAGGTCTCACTGCATCAGTATGCATCATAATATATCTCACAGGAGGGTTTCCATTTCAAAGGGAACTTCACATATCCTTATATTCTATGATCTTCACTTATGGTTTCGCAATCAGTGCTATACTCGAAGGAACCAATGCGGAAACCAAAGCTGTTGCATACATCTTGTTAACAATTGCCTTCGTTTTGCCATTTGCACAGCGATGGCTGCCAAGGTGGGGAAGAAAAGCTTGGAAGCATTGGAAACAAAAGAGCATGCACAATTAAAAGGCCTGCCTGTTGAGAAATAAACTTGATTTAGACTAATTAGTTGTTTGTTTCATGTTTGTTATTTTTATTATTAAGTGAGCCTATGAATCCAATAGTCTATATTCTAAAATGTACTGTATTAGTGAGGTAGTTAGTGCATATTAGTACCCAACTGGGATATTCATTTATTAAGGTTGTAGGGAAATTTGCGTGGAAGAATCTATTGAACGCTATATAGATGATCTCTTATGTTTTGTAACAGGCTAACAAGTCAATTAAGTAATTTTTATGTTGAGATAAGTTTCTAGCCTCTTCCACTTCTCAAAGATTTTCTTGAAGTTTTATCAAGACAAACCCTGTTCCTAACAAAGATTCTTTAAGAAAGATGACTAATGGCATGGTTCTTTTTCAAGTTCCATCATTTGACAAGTATTAAAATGAAGGCAAGGTATTATAGGCTAACAACATACACAATTCACGAAGATACTTAAATAGGTAAATAAATGTGTTTCGTGCGGATTCGTCGCTAACAATTAAAAAGGGATCAGACGATTGTGTAAGGGACAAACCTCTTGAGACAAAGTTCCAAAAAGGGGCGTTTTTTATTGGCGATGACTTTACAATTGGAAAATAAAAATAGAATGCCTCCAAGGGGCGCAAGCACACGAGTTACTGTAAAAGAAGTATTTAAATCTAAACTAAAAAATTTAAAGTTATATATTCTCTGTTTGAGAGTGTTTGATTCGGGGTCCTTTTGCTCTATGTTTTTTCTTCCTTTTATACTCCTTGGATGATCTTTTTGTGATCAACCGCCTAAAAACTGCTTGATTGTTCTATAACTACCCACTTTCCTCGTAATGGCCAACTTGTCATGGAACTGCCTTTTCTAACTGCTGCCATTACTCTTTGTCGTTCAACCGTCTTCAATTGGATTCCTTGAATCGTGGAACGTGATAGGACTGCTTAATAACTGCTTTGATAACTGCGCTTCTTGATAACCATAACACTTCATGTTTGCTAAGACCTTGGGCGACTCGAAGGTTTGAGCGAGAATAGAGTAGCAGCTCTGGGCGACTGTATGGCACTCCATTCGCTCAGATCCAGAGCGACTTGCAAGCTTGGGCGATGGTGTTACCGCGTTCATGGGCCTCCCTAGTTGGGCCTTCATCTTGAATTGTCTGATTGGGCTTCGTTCTTTGGGTTATCTGATTTGGGGATCCTCCAATTGGGTTTCATTCCTTGGGCCGTTCGATTTGGGCTGAATTTTTATGTGTCAACAATTACCCCCCAATATGACAGAATTAATACCAATTATTAAATTTTGCCATATTCACTTTGTGTTTCCAGCAACATTCGAAATTCTCAAGAATTTCAATCATTGTTTTCTTCCATAGCTTGAAAAGGTGCGACGTTTTGCAAACCCTTATAACCCCCAAATACGTCATTTCACTGCACCATTAACTCACGCCTCACTTTTTCGCGCTTCTCTCTCACAATTTTACTGTTCATCTCTTTGCTTCCCTGCTACGTAACTCAGAAAAACTCCATTTCGTCCCTAATGGCTACTTCACAATCTCAATCTGGCGACTCCTTTAGTTTTGAAGACTTTCAGAAACTCTTTAATCGTCCATACATAACTCCGAACTTTTTCGCACCTGCCAATGTCGAACTCAATGAGTTCTACCTAGGTCCTTTCTTCAACAATGCAGAGGCAATCGAACAAGCGGCGATGGGCCAGCTGTTTCCTTGTACTCAAGGCCCTCCATTTCTAAACTCTCTGTCGCTGGGGCCACTTCGCGAAAGAGGTATTCGCACTTGGCCTAAATCTGATGTAGTTTTCCGTAGGTGGCATGCTCGCCTTGTGGACCATGGTCCTACTAAGGCACTTTTTGATAATGCTAGGATTTCTGATTTGTTAGAAATCTCGCTTCAACCCCCTACTTTTGATTCAACACTTTTTTCGATCGCTTTGAGTTTTTGGTCTTCTGAGTATAATACCTTTGTTTTCCCTCTTGGCCCCATGTCTATTACTTTAAGGGATGTTGGGGCCCTAGTGAATCTGCCACCTTTGGGCGATACCATTTTTCCTGGTATCTTAGTTTCTGGTGGCGCCCCAAAGTTTGGTAAAAACCTCACCGAGTCTTATTGAAGCCTGCAAACCCTTCATAACCACTCGAGCGCTGAGTCTTCCCATACTGAACGAGTGGCCTTTCTTCTAGTTTGGCTTTGTAAATATATTTTGTGTGTGCCAAGCATAAAGCCCTCCTTGAGCTATTTACCCATAGCGCACGAATTGGTGCGTGGTAGGCCTCTGAATTTATGTTCTTTCTTTTTAGCTGCTCTGTATAGAGGCATGACTTCTCTTCAATCTCAATTGAAGAATGGTGCATCTCCCACTGGCAGTGGACCTCTTTGGTTCACTCAAATGTGGTTGAGATCCTATTTTCCATTGCTTGGTGCTCCATCATTTTCTCGTCCTTCTACTAGCTACTATGGGCTAGCCATTGAGCCCTTGGCTCCTGTAAATATGTCTAGAAGGGACATTTTTTCATTCTTTTATTCTTCGGATTCAATCCCTTCCTTCTTTCCTTTTCCTCCCTTTTTGACTCCAGACTATGTGCATCCTCCCTCCACTATAGATAGCGCGAGCACTTCTCTACTCATTTGGACCCAGTTTTTAACCGGGAGGGAGTTATTTCATGATATTTTGACTGGGACCAATGCCAAGGCTGGGGTAGAAATATATGCTCCCCAATTTTTTGCTCGGCAACTTGGTTTCGGCCAAACCTGGCCTGTTCCTCCTTGCTATTCAAGGAACTTGATAGACCGCTTCCATATCATTAATAAGGCGAAGGCAGAGGCTATAAATGCTCGCAATCTTCTTTTGACGAGCCATTTTTCATTAGCCCCCTTCAATTCTAGCCGTGCCATCCATCCCCTTTTTAAACAACTCTGGTCGTCAGTGAAGCGTAAATTGTTTGCGACTGATGCCAATCGTGCCTTTCATTCACTGGACCAGCCAAGCATTTCTTTCCCTCCTCCTGTTTTAGTCACTCCTTTGTCCATCCGGAGTCCTTCTCCTCCTCGTCACGCTAAACAATCTGCTCGTCCATCTTCTTCTCTCCTTGCCAAGCCTACTGTTGCCAAAAGTGCCTCGAGCCGCAAACGGCCAGCCTCAGCATCTCCCATTCTGGAGGATGATGTTGATGATACCCCTCTTATCATCAGGAGGAAGGTAATTAAATTGGTTTACTCACATGTATACTTTTCCATACTTGAAACTTTTCTGTGTGCTGATGGTTTATTTGGACTTCTCAGAAAAGTTCAGCCTCTCATTTGAAGGCCTTGGTGTCGGCAGCTTCTGCTTCATCATTCTCCACTGAGGCTGCTTAATTCAAACCAGCTGATGAAGGGACTACGGTTAAAGAGACATCTTCAGTCCCAGAATCCTCATCACAACCAATGGAAGAGCCACCTTCTTCCCAGGGCCTCAACCCCCCAAATATCGAAGTAGAAGGTAATTCAGTTTTTTGATGCTTTACCTTTGCTTGTGCTATTGGTTTCTGATTTGTTGCTTTTGAGTTCTGTAGATACTCCTATGAGTCTGCCCGTTGTGGCAACATCTTCTCGCTTAGACAAGGAAAAGTCCTCACGAATGGTGGAGCCACAGGTGGCAGACTTGACTGGAGATATGCCATCTTCCAAGATTATTGATGACGTAATCTTTGCTTCACTTTTACTTCCATCTTGTTCGTTGTAGTGACAGTCTTCAATATTGGCAATTTTCTTTGTAGGATACTGATAAAATTGTGCATTCCATCCAAGACTTATTCGCTTCCTGGGGGCAAGTCAAGACATCTCGCCCTGCTCCAGCTGGTCATCCTGCTACTTCTTCAGAGGAAGATATGAAGTTCCTCAAGCAGTCGATATTTGAGTACATGTCCTTCATGGATATGGACATTGGTAAGGCTAGTGCTGCCAAATATATGGATAAGCTTGAGCATTTGAATGCGAAGTTGGAGCAAGCACTGACACTTCCATCGCTTAATCTTTCTGCTGATTTTAAAGCGACGTTGAAAGTTATCCATTCCGAGGTCCTCTCCTTGCTGGCCAAGAATGTTGAACTGAAGGCTAAAAGTACTCAATATCTTCACGCCGTATCTGAAAAAGAGTCTTTGCTTCTGGAGATCAACAAAGCTGAGGACGAGTTGAAAGAAATCTCTTCCGAAGTCATGATTGAAAACTCTTTGATGGCTAGTTTGGCTGCTCAAATGAAGGAATTTCAAGCCAAAATGGACGACTGCAAGGCGAGAATGGCTGCTAAAAAGCGTAACGCCTCCCAAGGAATTGAGTGAACTAAGTCTTTGGTCGAGCAGTACAAGAGGTTGGAAGTTGATGATGATGTTGTGGCCGAATTGAACATCACTTCCTCTCGGCAGAACGAGGACTGGGGAAACTTAGGGAAAGAATTCGTTCGGTATGGGGCGGATTGTAATTAAGACATATAATGCCTTAAATTTTTCTTTTTGTAATTTCGCATTTGACTTTTCTTTTGTAACCTTGTACATCATTAATGAACATCTATGTTAACTTCTTGTGCATTTATTTGACGTTTGTCTTTTAATCGCCAATCCTTCAAGCATTTAACTGCTCTATGCTAAAAATCTTGCACATTTTCCCTTGATATTTTCATCTCTTTTCCCAAGACTTTGGGCTACTTAATTCCATTTACTAGGCAGAATGTGGCTGCTCATATTCTGTCTTTTCATCTCCACCCCTCTATAAATGCACGTATGCTTCGCACTTTCCATCTTTCATCTTCATTTTCATTCTCTTCTTCGAAACCAATTTGTTGTCATTGTTTGGCATTCTGACAATCAATCCAAAACCTTCGTCTTCTATAAAGATGGATTGTTTGGTCCGCCCATTTTACTACTTGTCTTGATGTCACCTTTAGTATGGGAGATATAGGAAATATTCTTTGGCCAGCAGCGAAGTTTTTCCCATCAAAGTTCTTCCCATCGTCTCTTTGTTCTTTACAAGGGGTTCGATGATGGAAGGCAATTTTTGGGATGCTTGCGGGCCACCTTGCTTGCTGAGAGTGCTTCTCAGTTTCTTTGTCCGCTATTGCAGCGATGCATTTAGGAAGGCGGTGCGAGGCCAGTCCACCCTCTTACTCGACGATCGATCGGGAGATTAGCTTACTTTTAATTGTAGCTTGTAGAGCATCTATTATTTGTATCTCGCAACTTTGTAATGAACGTTTGATAATAAAGGAATTTATTTGAACGTATTTCACT